GACTGTGCCGCTGCGTTGAAAACAAAATAATTTTGACCGTTAGAGTGCCTTTATTCAGAAGTGTCTAGCCCTAGCAGTCAACTATTAAGCTTGACCAATCAGGTTGGTTAGCGTGGTTATTTGAAGGGTGTTAATTCATTTGTGCTTGTCAAAAACTCTAACGTGATTGGTCGGGCTTAATAGTTGCCTGCTAGGGCTAGACACAAGTCCTTTGTTCGGCGATTTGTACATCGCCTACTGTCAGAGTCGATGCACGACGTACGGCAGTCTTCTGTCTCTGTCTAACTCATCGTGCGGTAGCGACGCGACGTAAGTCAGAGTTGTATCGTATTAAGGCGGGGCTTAGGCGAAATCTCCGGTCGCGGGAGCTCGGTAGGCTGAGAAGTTAAGGGGATATTCCCGATATTTCATAAGGAGATATATCACATTTCGTTAAGGGTATATTTCATATGATTCATTATACGTAGCATTTAAAACTTTTATATGAAAATTCAAAAAACGTCTAAAGCAAATTGGAAACATTTTTCGGGCTTGTCCGAGATTATTAAAAATGATATAACCTGTTGTATTTCAGAACACGCCATAGAAATAAAAGAATCCGAAATAAAAAAGCGCGTTATTTTATTCGGTGCAAGAAGACGATACAATAGATATTACAGAAAAGTCTCTGTGCTATTTCAATTCCATATGTTAATAAAAGCAGCTAAGTCAAATATCTTTGCGAATTTTATTTTTATGAAATATTAGATAACATTGTTATACATTTAGAAATAAGGTTTACAGATAAGTACTGGTATGTCTCAATTATTTTTATTTATCTCTTGCGGATCCGAAATTTAAAGAATCCTATAAAAAAATTCCAACGCATTTAACATCTGATTTAACAAACTTGTTATATTGATACATTTCCAACTTCCAACGCATTTAATAGTAATTTAACAAACAAAAAATGTTATTGACCAACATAATTAAATTAATGAATAAATTGCAGGTATTAATAATAGATATAATAATTTCGATTATAAAATAATTTAAGGAGAATAATCCTGGAAATATATTTCCAGAGGCTTTCAAATTGTTTGTTTTGTTTGTTACTACACCATTTACAAGTACTTGGGTTGAGAAACATTTTTCATGTTTGAAATGCATTAAAATTTATAGTAGAGATTCCATGAAAAATAAACGTTTATCGCCACTTGCCTTACTTTCAATCTAAAAAGATCTGTTCGCAGCTCTTCAACAATCTGATGATTTTACTGATATAATGATAAATAACTGTATAAGGAGACCGACTCATCAATTTAATATATAAAACATTATTATTCTTTCTCTCAATACTACCAATTTTTAAGTTTGCGTAAATAAATAAAATAAAATTCTATGATGAACACCATAGTAATAGATAAAAAAATAATAGATAAAATAGATTAATAAAAACTATACTTGTACATTATGTCAATCATTATGTCATTACGTTGAATGCTGTTATTTTTGCTTTAGTTTTGTCTAAATATTTTTGAGCTATGTTTTTAACCCAGAGATAACATATATTTACAAACTGGGCTAGGGTATTATGTAAATTAGCGGGGGGCAAATAGACGCAACTAAAATTTTGTCGCCTACCCAGTCAAGACCCAGTCACACGGGTCACGAGCCGCCACTGTGTGCATACAAGTGTAGTACATACAGTGTGTTGCATACAAGAAACTTTATTTTATATAAGGACATGTATGTGAAATACCTATAAAACAATAGAAACCGACATTATGCCACGATCCACGATGGTTTTTGCAGTTCACAACACTTTTTTTTTAGTTTTTAATGCCACTTTTTCACAATTATTATGGGTTTGAGTATGTAAAATTTAAATCAAACTCACAAGATAGTGATAATTACTTTGAGAATGGATGCTTTAAACACTTTTCGGTATTTTTTCAATAAAGGCGGTTTAAATTTTGAAAGATTTTATAACTTTTGAAGATTCTGACTTTGACAAGAGAAAATTATTTGTTATTGTTTGGCAGTTGTTCTTAGCAACCGCTATAGTAGCGCCAGATCGCGTACAACGGTCGCGGTACAAAACAATTATATATTTTGGCGGGCTTTCCAATCTAAATTTATTTCCTTTATCTATATGGTTGGAAATGACACCGGAACGTATATGTGCGACTAACTGTAATATTCTACTTAATTTGTTCTTTTAATAAATATTTGGAAAGTTTTCCCACAATGTTTTATTTACCTTTTTAATATAAACAACATATGTAACCTGCTGCTATTTTGGTGGTATTCCAAATTACCTGCATGTTACGTCGACAAAGATACTAGATACACAAGCATACTAGATATGTAGATCTAAGGTACACTATTTATCTTGTTCAAAATAATCAACATTTACATTTTTTGCAATTTTATATGTAACTACTATTCCAAAATGCCTTCATTTCCTCTACTTTTTAGTCTGCAACATGGAGACAGGATTATAACCCAGATTTGTGTGTTTCATTTCTTCAGACAGCAACGGACACCCCCTTCCAACTACACGAACTGGCATGGATGATTTCCCACATAGCCAGCATCGCCCTGTACGTATTAATAGAAATTTTTGGAGATTGGACACTCCTGTGACCCCAAACGAAATCCGAAAGACCGTGCACACACAATGTAAATCAAGCGACAATTAAAACAGCTCAAATCATCCTGTGCTGAGGAGACAGCATACTCCCAACCGTTCACCTTTGAAGAAATATTATAAGCATTAGACATATTAAGGCTAGCAAAGCTCCGGGATTTGACGGCATCCACTCGGAATTCCTTGTGAATTGTGGTGAATTAACCAACCAAATGTCTGATGCACTTTTTCACGGACATAATTTAAACAGGCACAATTCCACAGCCACTAAAAAGAGTTAAAATCATCGCCATCCTAAAGCCTGGTAAGACTAAGGGCAAGCCGCAGAGTTTTCGCCCAATCGTACTGCTGAGCAGCAATCTACAAGCTGCTGGAGAGACTAATCTATAACAGCCCAAAAATTATGGAGAGCATATCAATTGAACAAGCTGGCTTTCGTCCTAGACGTAGCTGCGTAGATAAGGTTCTGTCCCTAACAAGTTACATCAAAACAGTATTCCAACACCAAGAAAAAAAAATATCAGTTGCTTTTATTGACTTGACCGCGGCGTACGATACAGTTTGGAGATCGAACCGAATCGATAAAACACTCTGTCAGGTAAAACCGAAACACGCCTTCAATCTGGAAGAGAAAGAAAGCAAAAAGATGAAACTTAATAACGGATTGTCACAAGGTCCTGTCTTAGCTCATAATCATAAAGCTGATATGTCTGCTAATTCAGCTAGAAAGCTTGGGTATGAAGATGACTGGGCGATAGCTACAAGACATAAACACCTCGAGGAGACGGAAGCTGTTCTTGGCGAGGACCTGTCCGAGAGTCTAATAGTTTCTAATTTTAGGCGTAAATTTTCTATGAACAAATGCCTCTTTACCAACGTAATTGTCTTGTAATGGTTAGGAAGAAACGACTGAAACAAAGCAAAGCACCTCTCGTTCAATATGAACACCACCACATTGCACAACGCCTGAGATGATATCGCTCGATGCACGACGCGCAAAGCTCACCGCTCAAGGGGTGCCAATATGAACGTGCACTTAGAGTGAATCAGATCGTTAATGCTTGTGTTTATAATGCAACAGGGTTAATTGCGCTTTCTGAACTAGTATGATCTTTGTGTACCTCTCTGATATTACGAAGTGGCATATCTACATTACTAATAGTTCGGAAATTATTAGCTTTAAAATTAACCTACTACGCTGCTTTAGTGTGGGTTTACATGCATTCATGTCGTCTGTCGTTCCGTCACTTCAATTACATTTAAGTATGAGCTGTCATTTTTTAAATAAACCAATAAAATTGAATAAAATCAGTTAAACCTAGACCGTTTTTGTTCTTTAGCTATCCTGTAATGTTTACAAAATGTTTAGATATCTTCATCAGAAAGGCAACGATATGATCTAAGATACATTTTTTGATATTCTATTTATATAATTTCTAAATGCTTTTAACGTAGAGAAATGTATTCATTTAATACTTTTTTTATTTTTATGAATATTCTGATGGTCTTTAAAAAAAGATTACACTGTCTGTGATCAAATTAAACACTAAATACCCAATTTTATTAATATTTTCTTGTATACGTTGGTTTAAAACAGATCAATGTATATTGTTATATCTTATGTTTATACAATATTTTTTAAATGGCTAATTTATCTGAGGAGATGAACTTGAAATAAGAAGGAATGAAAAATATTTTTTTAATAAAATTTAGTTTTATTAACAGTTAAATAATACAAAAGCAATACATATATATAATAGAGGCTGAAACGAGATTCCACACTGGCGATTGTAGAATATTGTTTCACCTTTCCATCGGTAATTGGTAATCACACTTGAACTTGCTAGAGCTTGACTAGCAGAAACATAATGTGTAAAGCAAAAAATGGTTAGGCAAAATTAGTAAACGTTGGTAAAGAAAAATTAAAATAAAAAAAAATGGTCCCGTCTTTTTAGCCAATAACATTATACAATACCAAAAACTATTGTAAACAACAAAAAATGAAAACAAAATCATCGCAAAATAAAATAAAAATCACATTGCTTCAAATAATAATAATAATAATAATCCGATTTTTGCTACGTTTATATGGCAACTAATTTACAAAAAAGGGAACAAAAAATTTACATATAATAATAAATCCCTTTAAAAAGTTCTAGAAAAATTATCTTTTAAAAAAGAAATAAGTGTAGTATATTTTTTTATATATTAAACTATATACTAGAAAAGTTGCAACAAACTTAGGCGTCTTCGATTGGCAAAACTGGCGATTTTTTGCCCACCGAAAAGACTTTTTAATCTTCAATAAATTAACACTTTATACAAAAATATGAACAACTTCTTTTTAGAATTACGAAGCCTAAACTTATTATGTCAGTCATTGTAAGTTGAAATAAGTTAAGAAACCTAACTAAATGTGTTTTTGTAAAAGTAATTATAACCTAAATGGCTCCCTGTCTTCGATAGACGACTTCTTTTTACGCGCAACGCCGGTAGGTGTCTCTGACGCTCCAGATGGTCGTCGCAGAAGTCTGGACACTGCGGTCTGTTGGTCTGGATGGACTGGCGTGTTGGAGCCTGATGGTGTTCGTGTCCTAGACAAATAATCGGTTAATTAGTCACTCTGTAATGCAAATTATTCGTTATTCAAAGGTATCATGATGATAGATAGTCGTTGAGGTTTACTCTGTTCCCACAAAGATATCTTTGTGGAAACTTTATAATTCACATCACTTTATTTAAGAGATGTAAATTATAAAAATACAAAATTACTAAAAATGCCTATATGTACATTATAAGATTTGTTGAGACTAATACAGTACTTATACACATTAAAAGTTTTATTTTTAATATTTCAAAAATTCGTGTTGTTTGTGAGAAAAATTGTTCTTTGTTGTTAAAATATTAAAAACAAAGCTTTTCATATCTAAAAGTATTGTAATGGCGGTCCAAACAAAATATTATCTTATAACGTTCATCAATAATACCGTATGATCGAATAAAAACGGCGTCAGCGATGGCTATGAAATGACGATCGATGACATTTCCCATATAATTTTACATATAAAATGACAGCGATCTTCATTTCATAGCCATCGCTGACGCCGTTTTTATTCTATCATACGGTATATCTAAATATGCACTTTTATTTTGTTACTATCCCTCATATACTCGTAAATAATACACTCTATAAGGCTAGTAGATATATAATATCATATGTATAACTGAATTCGTCGCCAAGACCGTGAAATGGAAAACCGTACTCAAGTGGAGCGAAAAGAACAAGCTAGAAGGTTTACCGACAATCCCCGCAGTTCGTCATAAACGATTTTTTTATATCGCATTATACTATTGGACGTTTTTATCGATGTTTTAGAAATATCGATGTTTTGCCAGTGATATTCGATGTTTTTAACATCAATATTAATATTAAACGGTTAATATATCGACATTAATATCGATGTGTAGTGGTTAATAGATTTCATGTTACCAAAATTTGATTTTAAAACAATGACATTGATAAGTTACAGGTTAGTTACAGGTTACCCCGGCACTCGGAAAGGTGTAAAAATAATCTCGGGTAAATACAAATAATATATTTTGTGTATTGTTTACCAATATTCTCAAAACAAATTAAGAATATCGGTAAACCGTTTTTATTGAAATTTGTGTAAGAGTGCGTAGTGCGGTGGTACCATTCACCAAAAAGCGAAATCTGAAAAACTTGAAAAGAATCCAATTAGATGAAAAATAAATACCCATCTACATCACAGGAGCTATGAGAACCTGTCCAACAGCAGCAATGGAGGTCATTTTAAATCTAATACCACCGCATATTGTCATCGGTAGATATTCCAAATGATTAGAATAATCACTAACGGAATCAGTACTGGGAGAGTTGTCAGATCAAGGGCTTGGAATATCCTCAAAAAAGAAATACCACTCCTCCAACTCCCAGTGGATGACATACCGAGAATGTACAATTTTGAGAAACACCTCAATGTAGTATTGAGCAATAAAAAGAATTGGAAGAGAGAAACGTTTGCTCAGCAGTTAAAAGACCATACCATAACTTGGTATTTGATGCTTCCAAAACCAATGCAGGAACAGGGAGGATTTGAGCCGACAACTAAATACTCCAAACCAATGGGCACCTACCGTAGCATCCTACAGGTAGAAATCTACGCTATCGAAATATGTGTACAACTTATCTTAGATAGGAACTATCGGAAAGAAGAAATAGTCATCTTATCTGATAGTCAAGCAGCGTTAAAAGCGATCAACTCGGTATCATTTCAAAGTTGGTCAAAGAATGCATAGAGAAGCTGAACAAATTAGGCAAAGAAAACAAAGTTCTTCTACTCTGGGTGCCAGCTCACCAAAGGATAGAAATTTAAAGAAGGCATCCATTTTTCTCAAATAGACCTGGTTCAAATTAAAAAAGTAGAAAAAAGAAACTCAAGAGTCTCGGTCTCAACGTTTATACAATGTTAAACTGTTACACGTGTTTCGCTCATATACAAGCATCATCAGACCTAACAAGAAAGAACCTAAATAAATAACAAATAATAAAAAGGTCGTCATAACTTACAAATACAATTAAAATTAATCCAAATACACGTTCACATTTTACAATTAAAACAACACTGAGACGAGGCTGAAATGACCGGCAAATATTTGTCAATAAAAAACAAACAGGAACAAAAAATCTAACAAAATCAAAAATAAAATAAAAAATAGAATAACCCAGCGGGATTTGAACTCTAGGCTCCCGGGTGGGAACCAGAGAGCAAAGCCACTAAGCTACCATACTACTGAAGTAAAGATTTAGAACTCAACAATAATACACGGCCGAATTAATCTTTCAGATTATTGAAAATTAATGTTGGTTCGTTAATGTTATTTATTTAGGTTCTTTCTTGTTAGGTCTGATGATGGCTCGTATATGAGCGATACACGTGTAACAGTTTAACATTGTATAAACGTTGAGACCGAGACTATGAGTCTCTTTTTTCTACTTTTTTAAAGGATAGAAGGTAACGAGAAAGCAAATAATCTAGCTAGAAAAGGAGCGACTCCAGTAACTGGACCAGAACCGTTTTGCTTCCCAAGTGGAAACCAACTAAAAGCAAAACTCAAGATCTTGGAAGACTCCATCCGTAACCTGGAATGGGAATCCTGCAACGATCTGAGACACTCGAAGAAGTTTCTGAAGACACGACCAAGAAAAATCAAAGATTTTCCTTGATTTAAGTACCAACAATTTTCGGATTGTCACGGGGTTTCTAACAGGACACTGTCTCCTCAACGAACACCTCAGTAGGGTGAAGCTGAGAAACAACGGCGAATGCAGATTCTGTGGGGAAAATGGGAAAACACCAGAACACTTCATCACTGTGCGCCGAGACGACAACCACTCGTGTATATATAAACTTTGGTAGAACATTGGAGATGGAGAACTACCCTACGCTATCTAATAAAAAATTGAGTAATATGAAAATTATTTTAAATTTGTGATCTGTCAGGACATCAGTGTCCACTCATTACAACGAAACGAAAACGACATTCCAAATATCGGCACCGCGGTAAACGTAGATGAGTATTAGCTTTTATGCAAGGAAATATACCACGTGACACGAGTATATAGTTGATTGGATAATTTAGATAACGTTTAACCGTCCTTGTTGATAGCATTAAGCATGATTTTCCATTGCACTTTCTTGGCCGATGCCAAGATTATTTACAATCCTTATAAAGAGTATTGTTTATAATCTATCCCTAAATAACATTAACACAGTAAATGGCTAAAATCGAGACCACAAAGACACTTGAAAAAATATGTTCGTGAACTTTTTTAATTAAATGGGATTATTTAAAGAAATGTATTTTTTATTTTCTGTAACATATCAATAATGTTAACTTTTAACGTTAAACGTTTTTTATTGTTAACTTAAAAAAACTTTAACGTTAAAAAAAGTTACTGTAATTATACTTAAGGATAGTAAATACAATTAAAATATTTTTAATGAATGAAGTATGGTAAATTATGATAATTATAACAAATACAAAACAAACATTCTTATATTAGAAGCTTGTTAAAAGAGTTAATTTACCTAGAGGCAGTCCTTAACGTTGGGGCAACGCCAATTGTCACTTGCCTAACTTTGTTTGAACTTGCGCTCCTGCGTTAAAAAGGCACACAACATGCCGGTTAGTAAATAGGTTAAAATGGTTATATTCATTAAAATGCCAAAGGCACAAGACACAATTTCCTTTTATATATGTATCAAAAATAACTTAATATTTAGTTATTAAAATATACTGTATACTTAATATTTATTTCTTTATTAAATATAAAACAAGGTACGCCCCTGTTTTTTGTCCCAAAACCGCGAGTAGTATGTAAAACTGGCAATTTCCTATTTTTATAAATAAACTAAGTAAGATAAAATACATTAAGGAAAATATGAATTATAAATATAAAAGGAAACGCAGTACCTATAAAATTACATGCAATATGTATAAATCTCGTGAAACAACGATGCAATACTTAAATTCATTGCTATAAATTATCCAGCAAACTAAAGTATATTATGTAATATAAAACTGGTGCTGAACTAGCTGTAAAAAGTCTAGTAATAATATATACATACAAAATGCAACATGCGTTTACTGTATTACTATACTATAATTATTGTTTTGCCAAATTAAAACAAAAAATATTCACGTGCATTAGGTACAAAAATGTTATAATATACAAAAACAGTATACTTGTTTTTAATTTATTGTATATTGTCGTAAAACAAGTACACTGTTTTAGCATACTGTATATTCATTTAGTTACTAACTATATGAAATGCGTTCAGTAAATGAATTTTTACCTCTTTAGAATTGGAATTTTCGATTTACTTGATAGTGATTTGTCACTGATCGTTAGTCAGGAAAAAGAAAGTAAACAAAAACGGTAATATCAACAAAGGTTAGTAAAAAATAGTGCTAGTTCAGTATAATCGACATATAGTGTGCCTAACCAGAGAATGGTTGATCTTAAAAACTTCATATAGACAATACAGTCTGTTTTGCAAATTAAAAAAAATAGACAAAATCACCAATGTCATATAATTCTTTTATCAGACAGACTATAATCACGTTGAATGATTTCACTGAACTAGCTAAATTCTCAATAAACATGCATATACTTGCTGAGAAACTCAAACGTGTAATTTAAAACAAATATAATATTCCCATAAAGAATACTTTCAATTGCATATATTATGTAAATATCAATTAAATAGCTATAACAGATTTTTATAAAATTATATAAAATTATGGAAAATTCTGTTAGTATAGGTACATTAGAAGAAAACAGTTCTTTAAAGCATATTGTACGGTGAAAGTAAATCAAACTTCAATTATATGAAATTTTATAAGATGTTAACTTACAAAAAAATCAAAAACGCAAAAAACAAAAAAATATAACTTGATAAAACCAAAACGCCACTCGACAAAAACATGCACTAATAGAACATTTACCCAGAAGAAAGCGACATAGAACAGGAACTGGACGTAGAAAGTGACTCTGGTTCGTCCTTACTATGTCCTCTGTATATCGGTATGCGAGACCTTTACAATACCAACCAACACATTACCCATAGTAAATTACATCTAAAGATGCCCAACAGACAAGCATACAGGTGCATCACACATGTCCGTCGACATGCGTGACATTAATATATAAGAATGCAGAATTGTACGCTCAATCTCGATATGAATTGCCAGATAAGTACCTAGCAGCCCATAGACGGGCAACCAGTGTGTCATACTTATAAACATGTATAAAAATGACTATGTATATACCACGGTTGTCAAGGTTCGGGTTTGGGTTCAAATTTCCGTATGTAAGAAGAGTACAATGCATTTATAATGTACTGAACAAAGGGAGAAGAGTAAAAACGTTGCCAAACGTATGAAATAAATCGAGAAACTGTGCACATTGTTAAGAGACGTAGAAGGGGATATGGCAGCTTCGTCGCAGTCGAGACGGTCACGCTGCATAAACATAAAATTTAAATCCAGTACTTAGAATTCTAGGGAAGGGTGTACATCATGCGTTCAGCTTCACGATTTAATTACGTCTCATTATACTTTATTTATTTATTAACGAATTTGTTAATAAATATGTAACGTTGTAATTTTCCTTATGGCTTGTAAATTATTAAATGCAAGTTAGAAATTAAACGACTCTAAAACTCTAGCCCAGAAGTTTTGTTAACTTTTGGTAAAAATAAGTGGAATTGAGTTGGTGCTTGATTAGTGGTCGGTGGTATTAGAACACTGAATTCAAAATTCGATATTCCAAAATCCATTAGTAATAATTGGTTGTTTTTTTTATTTCTTAATGTGTCTGTTATAATTTATTCGCAGACAGTAAGTGAAATTTTTTACAAACAAGAAAGTTACACAATTGCTGAAAATTGCCATGCACTAAAAGTTGATGGACACGTTTTTTTTTTAATTTTTTGAATGAAAAAAAAAGGAACCTATCAAATTTTTCTCCTTTAAATATTTTGTCTAAGATCCGAACTTCGAAATAAAAAAAAAAGAAAGTTTCAGTATCTAAAGTGGTACTTGAGTTATCTCGTGTTATGTGTTAAAAACAGGAGTTTTCAAATATATGTTTATATAAATTCGGGTCACAACGTCCTACGACGTTGTCCGAAGCCTAACTTCTGTGCATATTTAACCTAACCTAGCCCTGTGCGATTTTCACATTGATCATCGATCAGATTTTTCTCGCCAGTTTTCAAATATCCGCGAGATGTTTTAGATACCTAGAAACATTCTAATTATTTTATCCTTATTTTAGTTATCTTTCTAAATTTTTTTTGGAAATAAGCGTCTTTCGACCAGGGAAACGTGCACCTGTATCTTCGCTAAATGGCAACGCTGCAACAGCACACCGTCGCATTTTTCTCACTCTGCCTTAATAAGATTCCTATGTGATTCACTTCCACACATGTAAATACCGACCCAATAGCACTCATGATATAAAGCAAAATGTAAGAAGCCAGTTGTTTATTTATTATATAATTATTTGATAGTTAAAGAGCTAGTAACGTTTTCGAGAGAGTATTTTAAGAAAACTGGCTCTTTAATATATCTTTTGCTATGCTCTTTGGAGCAGCGTGCGAGTCGTCTAACTGCCGATAGACGTTGCGTTCACTACTGCGCATTAAAAGAAGAAGATCCTATATTTTTATAGGACTTATACTGTAAGCAGTTGCTCCTCACTTTGATCAGTACACCATAGTGTACTGTACAGGATGGGTCAAATTCGACGCTTTTAAATGGAAACACCCTTTTCTATAGGAGATAGACCAAAACTAATATCGGTGTCCGGAGCTCAATTTTTGTCAAAAACATGATGGTGAAAACCGCATATCGATATCTGTCACGGTTTTGGAGTTACGGGGTGTTTTTCAAAAATATGCATTTTTAACAAATCGCTGTAACTTTTTTGCTATGGAATTTTTTTTCTTTTTAAGAAAACATTTTCAAAGCACCTTTTTACGTAGAATTTAATGGTTTAAGTATATTTTTTTAAAAATTAATAATTTAAGAATTATCAATAGAAAATTTGATTTTTTATATGGGACACCCTGTATATTTTAAATTTATTGAAAAGAATTTAAAATTACCTTTCCAAAAACATAACACACTTGATATTTTGCTCGATTCCTTAGAGATTCATCGAGATATAGAGTATATAAAAATTCGCCCGCTTTAAATAAGTGAGCTTTGAACGGCACCGCCAAAAAATTCTAGCTGTGAGCATCAGTTAAAACGAAACTAATATTTGCTATGAGAGATGCAGAATTATAACAATTTAAAATATATTTAATCAACATCAACACATTTAAACTATATCTAATAACTATAAAAATAAATAGCAAACCAAGACATGAGATTTTGCTACAGGTGTTCGACATATCGACCGTCTTCTGTCATGGACAGACGGGGCAATTTTTGAACATTTATCGCGGAATTCATTAACTCAGTGGGGGTGAAAGATACCCTCTCATAACTGCTAAGTATTTCTAATTCTTGTCTAGATTATCGAGTTCGATTAAGGGCATATCATCAATAAGGGGTCCAAAGCCTACTAGTTAAAAGTGGCGAACTTTTAAAATTCTGTATTGTAGCAAAATATCAAGTGTGCTATATTTTTGAAAAGGTAATTTTAAATTCTTTTCAGTTAATTAAAAATATAGAGGGTGTCCCAAATAAAAATCAATTTTTCTGTTGATAACCCTTAAATTATTAATTTTAAAAAATTATACTTAAACCATTAAATTCTACGTAAAAGGTGCTTTGGAAATGTTTTATAGAAATACAAAATTTTCCATAGCAAAAGTTACAGCGATTTGTTAAAATTCACATTTTTGAAAAACACCCGTAACTCTGAAACGGTAACAGATATTGATGTGCGGTTTTCACCATCATGTTTTTGATGAAAATTGAGCTCCAGACACCGATATTAGTTTTCGTCTATCCCCTATAGAAAAGGGTGTTTCCATTTAAAAGCGTCGAATTTGACCAACCCTGTACACATTGACTGTACTGTAATATACATGAAAATCAACACCCAAATGGCATGAATACTCCGGTCTATGAACAATTTACGTACTTGTTTGATAAACTCATATAAGGTTGTTTTGTCGTACAAAAAGTTATTTGCGTTGAATCCAAACGGAAACTAGTTTGTCAGTGGCATTTTACTAGTAAAAAAAATCTTAATCGACAAAAAATTATTAACGTTTTAGGAAGTATATCTCCTCCCGTCGTCAGAAACAAAAAATAAAAAGAAAAAGATATTTAAAAAATCTAAATGCAACTATTCAAGAACGCTTTAGATGTTTTGTGAAAATGACATTTAGCTGGTTTCCTTTTGGATTCAACGCAATGGTTATCAACGTAAACTTATTTTGTAGATTTCTTTTCTAGTCGCGAATAACCTAGACTTGGTACATACAGTATTTAAGAACATCTTTGCTGTACAAAATGTACAATAATTTTGTTCTCACGCATGAATATTACGCATGTCGTCGCACATATTATGTGCCCCCCTTGTATGCTGGTCTGTGGACAGCTTAACTATAAGTGTTGAGTGAAAGATATTTTTTTCAACCAACTCTATTAAGTCTGTCTATACATTAATGTTCTGTCTGGTTTCTTAGGCCAACCTTTCATTATAAATTAATAATTAGTAATAGTAATCTAACATTTTCTGATCAATTTGTGTAATTTATTTTTAAATAAATACATTTCATTTGAAAAAATAACTGAAGATTTTCAAAGTATATTTTAATTAATTAGTATATAAAATTTGGAATTAGACTAAAAAATATTAAGAGTTATTAGTTAATATTATTATTGTCAAAATCTACCAAGATTATTTTTTGCTTGCTATAATACCGAAACTGTACCTTAAATTTTGATTTAAAACGGAATTTTTGCTGGAATTGGCGAAAATTCAATGTTCACATTTTCCATTTACACATTTCCTGTAAAGAGTAATATATTCCAAAATCAATTTTGAAAAAAATAAAATTTGGATTAGTTGGCCCAATTACCAAAAAAACCTAAGTAACCCACTAAATTTCCCATCTATAATTTTGCCCCTCTAATTTGTCTACCAAAACCGGTTTCCCATATTTTTGCGAAATAATATATACTATAATTTTGTTAAAATTCCAAATTTAGATGGTTTTTTAATGCCTATCAAAATAGGGCAAGTACTGGCAAAGTAGTTATAACGGAATTTTGAAACAAAATTATATAATATATAAAATATCGCTATCGAACAATATATACAGAACATGACAGAATTTTGTCCCATTTTCTTTTACCTTGATGAACTTGAACTAAGTCCTGTTAAGGTTGGTATGCTTGAGGCTCTGGATATGCCCGTTGATCTACCGAAGGTTAAAGAAAATACATGCCCTCTATTAGTAGTGTTGGAAAGCTTTATATTTGTATAAAAATCATATTTTAGAATAAAATAGTCAATCTTATTGTCATAGAGATTGTTTTTATTCTGAAATAGATTTTATACAAATTTAAATTAATTGTTTACATGGAATATTTTCTCCGCAATTTTATAGTAAAAATTTAGTCCTAATGCACCTAATCATTCTATTAACAAATATTTAATATCATGTTGCTCAATCATTACAGTTATCAATCACTTATTATGTTAAACTACTTGATACAATATTTTTTTTGTTAAATTAGTCTATAAATTCAATGCTTTTAAAATTTTGATTAGAAAGAATATTTATGTACTTATTAAGTATCTGATATAACTTTAGGAACATGAGGCTAATATGGCGTAGTAGAGAAATCAATGCTAAATGAATAATTAAGTATGGTATACTAACACTAATAGATTTTAATAATTTAAATCTCGATAAAAATGTTCACGACGTTACCTTTTATTAGTTATTTTAAATGAAAATGCGAAATCAAGAAACTTCTTAAATGGTATATCATCTAAGAAGATTCTTATTACATTTTCTTGTTATTTTTTCTTTTATCATTAAGTTCCCAAAATTAAATCAAAAATTATTTAGTGTTGGATTATATTTTGGTATGTTAGGAGATTTATTTATAGAAAAAACTAATACCTAGGAGCTGGACTAGCAGGCGACCGAAGACCACTAGGTGTCCTTGGCCTTGAACCCGTTCCGTTCAGAGTTGTCTTTTTGGCAGACGACAGCGTTGCTGAACTGCGACCTGAGGTAGTTGGTGTTCGTCTAGGTATTCTCGAAGGGGTATCATCTAATAGTAATAGCAAATTTAATAAAAGAATAATTAATTTTTCTTTGTTAATATTACCTGTACTATCTAGTGACAAATTCGACCCATGCCTAGAAGGTGGTTTACTTCCAGGCCTGCTACCCGTTCTAGATGCTGGTCTCGAGTTGTTTCTCGATCCACCAGGGGTGATGTTTGACCGATACGTCGGCCTTCTTGGCGTTCTAAATCCACTCTCATTGTCGCTTAATGAATCGGGAGTTCCAGCAGATAATGATGATTTGGTATTGCGCGGTAAGCTTCCCATTGGTACTGACCTCTGTGACCTTTCTCTGACCTAAATTTATAGTGGAGTAATGTATTAATAAAGGTTGTTTATTTATATTTCAGTGGTAGAAAATAGAAAAAAATGAGTTTGTTTAAAGCCAAGCCGTGATCTTTTACACTCGATAAAAGGTTGTTTTAAGATGAAACTGACATCATAAAATTCAAAGTTTAATAAATTACATGGCGCATATCACTACTAAAATTTTGAATATTATTTTATAGAATTTATAAGATCTACTCTCAATCTATAAACAAACTCGAATTTTACTGATTATGGAAAACAGCGTAGTAGTTTCATAAATATATTTCTGGAAAAAGTCTTTTAACTAAAACGGCAAACATTTCCAAAAATATACTTCCTACCATACACAAAAATCAGTCACTCATCATTCATTCTCTCAAAACGTCAGTGCCACTGAAATAATACTTAGATTCTAATAATCGGTACCAAATTAAAGAAAAAAAAACATCATTGTGAGCACAGTGTCGTCAAATTTAATTATTCGAATTCCAACAAACTTTGTATAAATATTGCAATATCTAAAACGTGGATTCTTTAACGTTTAACAACTATACTCACCAACAGAATAGTTTTTACGTGATCTGGAGAGGTCAAGACAATCTTCGTTTAGATAAAATGAAAGAGAATATTTCAATTTTATTTTTCAAAAATGTAAAAAGAGTAGTAGAACGTGTTCTAAGTTCGAGTGTGCGATTTAGGGCTAAAAGTTGTATTTAAATATTATGTTTTCTTACTGACCTGCTGGATACCTACCATTGGCATTTGGGACAGATACAAAAGTTTGTGGTGGTCTTTTTCTGGACCGATAACAGCAACTAAATGAATCAATTTCATTATAGTATTACCGTCATTGTGATTTATTCTATATTTTGAGTTAAATAGTGTATAGTTTCATTAAGCATTTCAATAATCTATTAAAAATAACGCCAATAAAACAAATACTCAAATAAAAATACATTGACAAGAATTAAAGAATCAAACTGTTAACAAATATTATTAAAAAAATCCTAACTTCTCAGAATCAAACTGTTAACAAATATTATTAAAAAAATCCTAACTTGTTTTTATATCTTTTTGTTTTCAATAGGAATACTTCTTAAAATAGTATGTTTTATTTTTTCATATAACTTTGAGTTAATGTAACATTAAGCAAGTTATCTCTATGGTGTTTGGTTTGGTTACCAGTGATTTTTTCATAACTAGAAAATATATGATTCACAAGTCTTTATTTTATTGGCGTATTCCCATAAAATTACTAATATGTTACCACCACAAAGATATAAAAAATCTTACATTAAGCATTACATACTTAAAACATTTTAAAGGACAATTAGATTCACCATTCGCCCTAAAGAAAACACAAATGCTTAAAAATAGAAGAATACAATGAACATTAAAAAAATATACTTGAGAATCCAATCATGTCATTTAAATATTGACTGATGTTTTATTACATCTCTAATATTTAGAAACTTGTTTATTGCAATAAAATAGTTATTTATGATATAAGTGCTAAAAGTGGTATTTTATTTTGTGAGAAGGGAAGCTTGGGACTTATCCCATCCCTTCGAACAAAATAAAATCACTTTTAGCACACATATCATACACTATTTTTTCTACAAACAAGTTTATGCTCGTATATATCAAGGTATTATTACTTTTCACGTTAATGAATAATTCATAATATATGTCATTCTGAAATCAAATTAATTATGAAGTTTATGGTTGCTAGGGTAACAATTATCGCTTCAGCGTTAAAAGTAAATCACGTGACTTACTTTTAGCACCAGTGCTAAAAGTAAATTACTTTTAGCATCAGTAACATAATGTCACATTTTAGGCACTGACAGCATGCGTTAAAAATTACATTTTTACTGATGTTTGTAGAAAAACTATGTTTACAGCACCATATTTTTTGTTTGGTTTAGTAATGCTTTGGCAAGTAATGCTTAAAAATAAGAACATCTTTATTAAATAATATCAGATTTAATTTAGGGATAAATGCTTAATAATATTAATCAAAAAAATTAGAGTGATTCCGCACATAAAACACTTATAAACCACAGGGGATAATAACTCTCGAAACCTCTTTATTGTTTTATTTTAACCTCCGCAACACTGTCATGCTCATGCTGATTGAATCCTGTGAAGTTTGTACAGATTTTCAAAAAGTCACATAAGATTCTAGCCAGAATTTACAGCTAAAGCAATATGTTTTCTAGAGAATGAAATAAAATGTATTTACACGAGCGCCTTTAGCCTAGCTAGTTTCTGAAAATATTGCACAAACTATACCTTATATTCTAGAAGAGAACCGAAACCATGTGCACAGAATATCGTATCACAATAAACTAAATTATACAATATTATATATTTTTACATATATAAACCGTTGCTGCATGTTAAAAGAAATACAATATAAAAAAAATAAAAAACATTTAAGTTAAAAATATATACCGGGTGGTGCATAGGCGTTGGAAACATAAGAAATCCCATCTAAATTTTGAATTGTCCATATATTGGCTCCCTATTGATTTTACATCGTAAATATATTTTTTAAAGATCTGTTTGTTATAAAACTTGTCCAAATTAGGCAAAAGCGTAACGTACAGAAAATTAAATTTGACATTCACAAAATCCTAGGTTGAAAACTTAAGAACTCCTGTATTGTTCGGGTCGCTCTCAGGGTAAAGCGGGTGTGTGGACGAAGGAAATATATATTATATTTCAGAAATCTGCCTAAGACTTAGCCAGATCCTGTCGTGATAAGCCACACCCAAAATGTCAAACACACGTGCTTGGATTAAAGCTTGATTAAGATATGGAGGGCTTCAGCATTTGCCATAAAACAGCAAGCAATTTGTTACAGAACGATATAAATTATATATCACTATAATCACAAAACTTCAATCTACTTCCGTATTGTAACGTAATTTTAAATTATGTCTTTATTTTCGAGAAAATTTAGTCCAAACATAAGGAATATTTTGTTGATGTTTGACCATCAATCTTAAAAATAAAGAAGTTGTCTAAAAATGTGCTACAATACGGATATAGTATAATCCTTTATCTTTAATTTCCTTCTTCATTTGTGAAAAAAATACTTAGCCAGTTTTACATAAAACGTTAAATGCCGAACACTTATTTTGCTACTTTTTCGGACTAGTGAAATGGATTCTTAAGGTATGTTAGCGTTTGCCTGGTTTTGAATTGTTACCTGTTTAGTTTCAATTTAAAACTAGATGGAGTTTTTCTTAAATTAGTTAAAATCGACTTGTTCAAAATTGTTCAAATTTGACATGTGTATTCAGCATATGCAGACCTCTGGAATACCTATTACCGACTTCGCTGTAAATTCAGGGGAACCAATATTTGCGCAGTTCAAAATTTGCATAGGATTTCCTATGTTTCCAATGCCGATGCACCACCCGGTATGCATTGAAGAATAAAAAGAGATAACTGAAAAAGTTATACACCATACACCTAAATATTTCTTTTAACATGATAGACAACACAATCGTCTCACTCACACCCTTGAAACATTTTTAAATAAAATTTTATAAACATTTGTATAAAAACGCCATATTGTCTATATTGTATTATAATATTTTAGTGTATTTTGTGATGCTAAAACGAGAACTGATTTTTTTATGAATAGTAATTAAATACTAGTACTTAAAAAGTAAAATACCATAAGCCTACATCTTATGAAGTAAAATAGATAAGTACCTAAAATAGCAGTCAAAACACACGAAAAGGAATTCTAGAGTGAAACGATTGCGATTGACACCGATATCGAGATCGGTTCACGTCACACAAGTAGTCAACTTTACCCAATAGCAAGTGTTCGGATTGACGTGGGCCAAGTGAAGGGTGGGTCCGGCGTTTGAACCCACGTGCAGCGGATACGCGTTGCCTATCTCCCCTCTAGCCCGGATCTCGTCAAAGATCGGCATCAGTTCGGCTAAGTGTTCGTGAGCTACATGAGAACAACACACATGCGTATTCGTCACAATCGAGAGAAAATTTAAGGTGTAGGTGTAGGTGTGTGAAAACGTGGTGCCTGGTACTGTGTGCTAGACCGGCCGTGTCTTGTGTATTAAGTTATATTTACCGGGGATATATTCTTAAATTTTACAGTGAATTTAAGTTCTAAAGTTATTTACAACCAGTTTGAAATTGCATATATAAACACGGTCAAGGGAAGTAATTACATAAATATCCTAAATACTAAATATTAACTATTCATTTATTTAACCAAAATATTGATCGCACTAGAAGTTTTTAAGTAATTAGAAAAATTGTAAATGAAAAAAAATTCAAATGGAGTCGAATAATGTATCAACAAGCACCATACCACGATGTCCAGTATCGCATAACGTGTATGGAATAATAAACAAAATAAATACGCCCATTAAGCGATGGGCACCCAAAAAACGAGTACAGAGATTTAGCATGTAAAGCGTTTAAAGCGTCTTTTGCGACTCGAAACAAAATAATACGAAAATATACGAGTGGCCCGACCAAAACATTTAGCGCTTCTTAGTATATAAAAAGACGCTTTAATCGCTTTACACGCTAAAATGCTTTACACACTTTCTGAGGGGCTGTGGGCTTTGCCAGTCGAGCATTAGACATCAAGAAGAAGTGGATACTACACTGATGTAAAACCCTAATTTAGTTTTTGTATTAACTCACGTAAGTATTCATAACTACTTGTGACTAAAACCTAATCAAAACGTTTTGTAAAATTTCAACAATAAAGACAATGTCAGCCCAAGAATATAAGCGAATATTTTATTATATCGGGAGTAAGAAAAAAAGTATTAAAGTCGTATTGGGAATGAGAAAAATTAGATACCTAAATATCTATTATCTTGAGATAGTGAATGAGAAAGGAGTCTTTATAATGGGGATGAGAATGATGAGATGGCTGAATATCAATTATCTAGAGTTAGTGGATGAGAAGATATTAGACTGATCTATTATCTGACTGAATACACAGGCCGACAAAAAAAAATTTTTTCGATGTAACACAAAGCTCAATAGGATATTGTGGTAGAATGAACCTATCTAATCACGAAAGTGGCAAAAAAAAAGTCGTAACACGTAAGGTTTTTTTGTTACATTAATAAAACATCATTCAATATTACAATATTCAATATATTAAGATAGCTAGAATATCTCTTTATACAGAAAATGGAACTGAAAAAAATGTGAGAATAGAAATTACTGATGAGAAAGAAGATATTGCATTGAGATGAAAATTACGAAATGCCTCGAACATCTATTATTATATTAGTATTGAAAATGAAAAAGTCGTTTGATAATAAAAGATGAGTATAATTCTCTCAATGTTCATTTTGTATACAAACTTCATCAGAATTGGGGAAGCTCTTGAACGTCTCAGTTGCAGTTTTCAACGAGCTTACCAGCAGTCTTGGGCTTGTTTGAAATGCACGTTTTCGTCGTACTCAACCACTGCTACCAAATAGTTAACAGCAGCGCAATTTCTCCTTACCGGGTCAACAGTTTTTTTTGATGATCACGAGGCCTTTGAATGGTAGTGGTTTTTGATAGCCAGCAGTTGGAGAATTCTGGTCGCAGCGTAGACCGCAATTCGATATCTTCATTCGTTTCAGAATTATTGCCGGAAGAATACTCTTATAACGCTTTAATTTAAAAAAAAAAATGCTTGTTTTCATAGTTTCGTGGTAGGTAAAGCATTTCATGAAATTTTTTGTCTAATTTTATGGTTGTTGAGGTTTTTATAAAAAAAAAAAAAAAAAAAATATAATAGTCTTTCTATTGCTTTTCCTTAAAAACTTTAATACTGGTATTATTGTTGTTTTGTTGTGGCCTGTTGGCCTTTAAGCACGCCCAAATTTTACTTTTACATGATTTGGACTAGTCCTAAGCCTAGGTGAAGTGCGAAGGAGGGCAATGGAATATGACAAATGAAAACTACCTGTTATCAATTCAAAAGTTTAACCCGAAACTATGAAAACAACCATTTCTTCAAATTTAAAGCGTTGCAAAAGTATTCTTCCGGCAATAATTTTGAAACGAATGAAGATATCGAATTGCGGTCTAAACGTTTTTTGTTGCAAATTTAATCTACTTTCCGAATATGACATCAAAATTATACCGTATGATTTAAATTTTCGTGACAAAATCAAAAAAAAACTGTTATTATTGGAAATTGCGCCCTCTAGCAATTTAATTTGTAACTATTTGGTAGCAGTGGATTGGGTATTTGAAAACGTACATTTCTCTTTCAAACAAGCCTAAGTTTGCTGAAATCGGATAAGTCGTTTAGAAGATACAGAGTTTTAAATACTGAGACGTTCAAGAGCTTCCCCCACCCTTATTAGGTCGGTACGCCAATGAGCTCAGACAGAATTTATGAATTTTTCATCATAAAATTTAATGTCAGCCCAAGAATCTACCGAAGATTTTAATACCTGAAGTCTATTGGGAATACCTGAAAAATTAGATAACCTAAATATCTATTATCTTGAGATAATGACTACCTGCAAAAAAGAGGCGTAATTAGGCAACTGAAAAGTGGTACGTGTAGGAGCTTCAGGAGTATTTTTTCTGTTATTAGAAGCATATTTTTATGAAGAAATTCTGCAACTGACTCGTGTTACAAAAATCATGTCGGCCTGTGATATCATTGAATATCTATTATCTTGGTACTGGAAATGAGAAAGGAGTGGACATGAGAAAGCTGAGGATGCCTGAATATACATTATACAGAAAATATATGCATTATTCATAATTTGGAGATAAGAAAGAAGTTATTATATTGAGGTTGAGAATGATGACATGCTTGAATATCTCTTATACAGAAAATGGAACTGAAAAAATGTGAGAATAGAAATTACTGACGAGAAAGAAGATATTGCATTGGAGATGAAAATTACGAAATGCCTGAACATCTATTATATTAGTATTGAAAATGAAAAAGAAGTGTTGATAATAAAAGATGAGTATGCCTGAATATTTATTGTCTACAAATTGGAGATGATAAATGAGTCATTATATTGAAGTGATAAGAATATGATGCCTGAATATTTATTATTTTAAGATTTAAATGAGAAGAAAGTCATTATATGGAAAAAAGAAAGATGAAATGTATGTATATCTATTATCTCAATATTTTGGTTGAAATTTGATTAAGAAACTAAAAAAATACTGTAATTACTTCCCTAAATTCAATATCTAAGTAATTATCTATGAAATAAAAATTAATTTAACTAAAAACTGAAATATTAGTTATTGATTTATAAACAAATATTTGTGCGTGTATTAAGCAAGTGTAAACCCAAAAGATTTTAAAATAATAGGAAAAAGAAAACGAAAAATCTACTAAAAAATCTACAAAAAAGACCATCTAAACCAGAATTAAAATAAAGCGATATAGTTCGAGATATAAATATGTCCGAGGGAACATTTAACACTTAATTCATGTATTAGTTGATCGCAGCCGGTTATTTTCGTCTCATGAGGTGAATGTTTCGAGTCGATGTTCTATAAAACAACTCTTCCATATAGCTGCTCTTCAGTTCATATTTCATTACAGTTAAAAAAATAAAATACATACTTTACTATGTAAAAAGGTTATACTTACCTGTGTTAACCAAAAACACTATATTTTCATATAGACCCGGTCCTTAAAATGGGTATGTTCATGCTCTCTATGACATACAAAGTACTTATATAGTCCTACCTGACCAACCAAAACAAAAACTACAAAAGCAGTGGCATGACAAATTTCAATAACCTAAATTACTATAAAATCCACTCTCTTTCAAATCGTTCAGTTATACTTTTTGTAACTCAAATGCAAACATACCTACTAAGTAGCAGATGAATGAATGTGATCAATTCACATCGTACTTGACCAACTGTACAGTATTTTTTTTCAGGCAGTCAAGTACGGTATGATAAAGGCGGGATTGGATTTGTTTAAAAAGGTTTCTCTTTGCTATTCATATATCTTGCTATCAAAATTAATTTAAAAAAATGCATCTAGCCAGATTATGAATTTCCTTAAAATTTTAGAATCAACTGAAATGGGGGATGAGAATAATTTCCGCTCTATTTCTTGTTACTTTTTCTCTTACAAAAAACGGAGATATTAATTTTCCAGTCCGACTTTAGGACTGGACAATTAGGAAGACCATTTTCACCTTTCTTAACTTACACAAGGAGCTGGCTATTCTAATTTCAGTATTCAATTCCCTTCATTACTACAAAATAAAATGAGGTAAAAAAGTCATAGGATTTGTATATAATTCCCAAGAAGGAACAATCTAGTGACCAAAGTATTACGGAAGTTTATGGCTTCACGAGAAGAATGAAAAGGCACTTGTTTCTAGATTAAGTTGAATAAAATCGGACATAAAGGATCCCTCAAACCAATGCGGTGTGAGATGTTCCCATGAATTAGTAAGACGGTGGAATTGGTGGAATATATTGTCGTGGCTTTAGCGAGAAATTAATCGGATGTGCCAAATTCTGTATGACGTATAAAATCAGGAAAATAAAAAAGTAAAAAAAATGATAAGACATAAATAAAGACTAAAATATATGTAAAATTTTTAGGACCAATTTGCAGCTCCAACATTCTTCATAAGTTCTTCCGTGAACAATATCATAACCCCATTCGTATTTTTAGAAAGAAATTCTAAGAAAAAATGATATCACAAAGAAGATAAAAAAAGAAATCGTCACAAAGAAGATAAAAAAATTGCCACATCCAGCTGTCCATCGCAGCGTTACCGCTCCCGCAGTACCGCGTTGGTCTGTGAGATCCTTAAATCGACACCATAGTCCAAAAGAGATATCAATATTTAATAATAAATAATAATATGTTGCACCTTCCTCAATCACTTTATTTTTGAAATTAAACACAAATGGTCTGAAGCAAAAGAGTGTATAATAATTTCTTCAATATACAGGGTGGTCCAA